TAGGAAACAAAACTTCAAGAACACGGCCACACAGCCCGGAAGACCCACACCAGCCATTGTTCTAAGAACATTTAGAACAGGAATCCATCTATACATACTAATATTACTAATCCGGGCCTTAATCAGATTTATTCAGCATCTCCTGGTCAATTACAAGTTCTGAGAATGCCATGCTTTTTTAGTTCTTTAATAATGGACTTCAGCAAACTGTTACTAAGGGCTGAGTATGAACAAGCTTAAAGATAAATGCAATAAAGCAAAGTGTGCTTTATTGCTAATAAATATTAACAAGTTACTTTTCTCTTGTGTGTTAAAAAAAGTTTATCATATCCGAAAAGCTTCAGCATTCTTGGAACATAAACAACATATTTTTATACATCTGAATGCACGTGCAAAAGTGGCATTTCTTGTACCTGTGACAAAATATTCTCTTCTTCCATCTGTGCAGGAGGAGAACATACTATCATCTCCTGCATCTGGTTTACAAGAGCATCACTTATGTCTGGATTACTTTCAGAACTTGCTTCTGGTTTCATCTGCTCACTAGGACTGTTAGGTTTGGAGCAGCTCTTCTCAGAACTAGGTTGTGCAGGTGATACTTTGCTTCTTTGACCCTCATGTTCTACATCAATGTCAACGTCAATGCCTGGAACAGCAGTTCAAATGGGTTATGTTAATATACTGTGGTATGTTCATGGACGTAGCTAATTATCTGTCTACATGTTCATAATTCTAGTGATACGAACTTGTTCTATTTATCTCAAAATCACACATAATTCATCCATCACCCAGTGTCTGTCCCTACTTCATACGTATGTAACCTAGTTATCCATTTTTACATTCTCCCAAATGATGACTCATTTGGGAGAATATAAAAATGGATAACTAGGTTACATAAATTGGGTGTCACATCAGTTATTCTGTAGTACTTGATGCATGACAGGATGAGTACCAGCTCATTCTGATACTACACATTAACCCCTGAGAGTTTCAAGCATTTAGATACTACATATGCATCACAGTGTCACAGTATGCTTAAATTGTTAATTTCTTTATGTCATTCAAAGGATATGGCAATGTAAAATACAAGAAGTTCACTTTTGCCTATCATGTATTGTCTCTAATTTACAAGAATTAATAGCTGATAATATATAAATGAAACACTATTTCCAAGATGTCTTTGAAGTATTTATCCATGGTATTCTAGATTTTTGGGTGAAAGGAATAACCAAACTAAATATATAAAGAGATGGACTATGTTATAATGAATAGGTACATTAGTAGGAGGTACTCAAGTCCTTTGCTGTGAAGAAGGAAGAACAGCCCAATTAAGTCACACTCTGGGGGAGATGGGTGGGATAGAAATTTAATAAATAAAAATAATTAATTAAAATCAATAAAAGGTCTACTTTCTGGGAAGTCCACAAGAGGGACATGAAAACCAGTATACAGTGAAAGGAATCTTACCAAGTGGACTCAGGAATGCAGCAATACTTTCTCCAACATTCTTCAGGAAGTCGACATTGGGATCTTGAGCTTGATTGCTAGCGGTCTCTGTTATAGAGCAAAAATATAAGTAATCAATAAACATGTAAAAATAATTATTCAATAGCATTCCAGACAGGTTTTTATGACTATCAATCTCTCTCGGCCTATGTATATATATAATTAGATACAGCATTTTAAAATGATACTATAGAACTAACTTTTATATAAAATGGCATTTCCAAAGGAAGAATTTTAGACAAGCATCAGATTTGTCGCCAATTTATTTTGCATTTACAGCCTCCCGGTTATTAGAACTTTAAATTCTTACCACGCTCGGGAGCATCACTTTGAGAAGTACTAGCTTGTGCCTCGCCAGAACTCTGTTGCTGATGAGCAGGGCATGGGTGCCTCCAACCCTGCATCCAGGGAAAGGGTGAAACACCGTGTCTCATTTTACGAAGCCAGCGACCCTGAAGAAGCCACTAAAGGGTAAATAAATGTTTCTAAGCAACAGCAGCTTTAAAATAAAATACACGAACTGAGTTTATAATCACTTTTGTATATCTGCCTTTTCTTCATAATACTAACCTCAAGCTGG